TTATAATTATTTTTTTTATAGAAAAATACTTCTGTAAGTTTATTCTATCTATTTTATAATATTTATAAAATAATAATATATAGAATATATTATATATTTATAATTCTGTAAATAACTTCAGTCTATAGGCTTGTAAGTTTATTTATTTAATAATATAATAAAATTCTCTATTTTGTGGGTCTAGTTTTTTACTAGTCTATTTTTATAAAAGATATTTTATAAATAATTAGACTATTTTTTTTAATATAAAGCTTTTTATTTATTTTTTATAATTATAGAATTATTTTTATTTTTTATAAGCAGAAGTTAGATTCTTCTCTATTTTAATATAGATTTTCTAAATATATTTAATCTATTCAGAGACTTTAATCTCTGCTTTTCTTTTTTTATAAGAGTCTATCTTAATAACTCGCGGATATTTTATAATAATAATATAAAAAAATAATTTCTTTATAGAGACTTATAAGATATTATTATATATAAACTTCGCGATAAATAATAGATTTATTTAATTATCTTATTTAAAATTAATATAGTTTTATAAGTACTGCTTAAGAATATTATTTAATTTTTTAATCTAATTATTAATCTGCGGGTAATAAGCTGTGCTTAATTCTTTTTTTATTATAAATATATAAATAAAATTAGATTAAAAACTCTTTATAAAAATATTATCATAATCTATAATAATCTTTGCGGGTATATTATATAAATAAAAAATCTTTTTAATAAAGATTTTTATAAGATTCTTTTTATTAAGACTTTTTTATAAAAAAATAAAATAGATTATCTTACTATACTGATTTATTATTACTAGAATATTATTAAAAATTTCTTATAAATTTTTAATAGTACTAGTACTTGCAGATAAATTAATAATAAAGTTTATTATTATCTTTTCTTAGAATTTTATAAATATAAATAGAGATTCTAGCAGTTCTTGCTATTTTTTATAAATTATTTTATTATTTTAATATACTTCACAGGCCCGGCAGTATTTATTTATAAAACTATTTATTCTTAATTATTAAAATTATTATAATATTAATATTAATATTTTCTTACTTATAAAGTAATCTGTAACAGAATTATTATACAGCTTTATAAATATTTAAAGCTTAAAAATATATTTATCTGAGATATATAATTATCCTGCTTTTTATAAGAGATCTTTGCAGTTTTTTTATTATAAAATCTTATTTATTTTTTTTTTTTTTATAGTTTAAAATCTTTAAAATCTCTTAGTTCTTTATAGATTTTTTATATTTATTAATTTTTTATTAATATTATAAATACTGTGGCTAGCAGCTTTATAAAAGAATTTTTATAATATAATTTTTTTATAATAATAATATTATCTACTATTTTTTTTTTATAATTTTTTATATATTTAAAATACACCCGCGAGTAAGAATCTATTTAATATTTATAAATAAAACTTTTGTTTTTATATTCTCTGGCTTCTGTAGTTCAAGTAGATTAGATAATTATTATAAAATTAATTTATCTAGTTTCTTGCAATTCTTGGCTGCTATTTTTTTTTTATAATCTAGATATTATAAGAATATATCTGCAGAATTTTACATACCCGGATAATAAATAAGATAAAATTAAAATACTGCGAGTTGCTATATTTATTATATTTATTTTTATAATAGCTCTGGGCTTGTCGCGAAGTATTTAAGATTTTTATAATTAATAAATATTTTTATTATAAGATTTGCTTTTTTTAGTCAGTGATGCTATTCTCTGAATAATTTTATTATTATAAATAATTTTTAATTATAAATTTTATAATTCTTTTTAGCTGTAATTATCTTTCGCGAATAAAATATAATTAAAGTTTATTAATTATCTATATTTCTCTATAATAGTATATTATTAATTATAAAATTAAATATATCTATTTTAATATATACTTGCTTCTCTTTTTTAAAATAAATAATTATAATATTTTCTGTAAATATTATTTTTAGCTGTTTAAAATTTTTGTAAGTATTAGTTATAAAAAATTTTATATTAGATTTTCTTTTTTTTTTTTACAGAGTTTTTTAGTAAGATCTGTAAATAAGATTATTATTTATAAGTATTCTTAAATAAATTATTAATATTAGTTTATAAATTTTATAAACTATAGTATATTCTTTATATTCTATAGCTCTGATTATTTATAAATTATTATAATTTATTTTAATTTTATTTATATATTTTCACAGCTAATAATAAATTTAAGAAAATTAATCTTTATTCGCGCGAAGTAGTACTTGCTTAGTTTTATATATAGATCTATCTTAATTAAGATATATATAACTTTATAAACTTATTTCTTATATATCTTCAGATCTTGCAAGTATATTATAATATTATTAAGATAAATAATTATAAAGTTATTCAAGTACTCTATAAATAAGAAATTTATAAAATCTTAAAATCCTGTAGATATATTAGTTAGTCTAAATAGTATAATTAAGTACTTAAATAAATTATATTTTATTTAAAAAACTATTTTCTATTTATAGTCTACTGTAATTCTTATTCTATAATAGACTTTATAAAGATTAAATTATATAAATTATAATATTCCTGCGAGCTGATTAATATAGCTATTAATTTATAATAATAGATACTTATTCTTAATAGTCTATTTATTTAATTTATAATAATTAATATATACTTATAAGCTTTTATTCTTTTTTTTTATAAAGAGAACTGATACTCTGATAGATAATTTTAAATATTAGATTTATTTATATATAAAATATTCTTACAGATACTCTCAGAGTATTTTCTGCTTTATAAATAATATTTTATAAATTAGATTTATTTTTAATTTATAGTCTTTCTTCAGATTAATCTTTAGATTAATATTTAATTATAAAAATAGACAGTTTATTATTTTATTCTCTGTAAATATTATTTTAAATTTATAAAACTATTCTAAAAATACTTTTGAATCTATTTTTTTATAAATAAATCTGATTATTATAATTTATAATTATTTAATTTTTGGTTTTTCTGTAAGAAACTCTGTCACAATAATATATTATATCTTAATTTATTATTTCTTATAAAATCTTAAATAATATTAATTAAACTCTGTGACAGAGATCTCTATCTAGATTTATAGTATATTTAATATAATTTTCTCTATATTAAATATTATAATAATAATTTTTTTATAAATCTTATAATTATTTTCTATATCCGCAAGATTAATCTTAAATATTATAATTTTTTTTAATTAAATATTATTATTATTTAGTAGTCTTGTGAAAATCTTTATAGATATTATTAATTATTCTATAATCTTTACTATTATTATAAATATTAGATTTGCTTCTGTATTTATATTAATTAAAATATTAATTTTTTTAAACAGATTAGTCTTATTCTGTGTAAGTAATTACTCTTATAGTTTTAAAATAGAATATATTATAAAAAATATATTTACTGATTTATTATAATTTATTTAAATTGCGAGTTATTTCTTAAAGTTTTTATTCTTGTGCTAGTAATAATTTTTTATAATATAATCTTATTTTCTATAGTTAAAATATTTTATTATTCTTATAAATACTAATATAAAATCTTATAAAATAGATATTTCTAATATATTTAATTATAGAGTATTTCTTTGTAGAAATCTCTTATAATAATTCTGGCTATTAGATTATTTTATCTAATTTATAAATAATAATAACTTTCTTTCTTATAAATAATTAATCTTTTTATTTTATTAGTTAATATTTAATCTTAATTTTATAAATAGCGCGACCAGATCTTGCTTAGTAATAGAAAAGTCTGATTATTTATAGATTTTTTATTTTATACTTCGCGGAAATAATTTAAAAAATAGATATAGTTATATAATATTTAATTTCTATATTTTATAATCTAGCTCTGTTTTTATCTTCTTTTAATATTATAAATATATAAAGTTTTTTTTTCTCTTGCAAGGAATTATTCTTAGAATTTATAATTATATTTTTTATTTATAATTTTTTAAATTATCTAGCTGTATCTTAAGAAATTTATAAAAATCTGTTTAATTATTCTTTTAAAAGAGCTTCGCAATTTTATTTTTCTATAGATTATTAAATATATAATTCAGATAGATTATTATAATCTATACTTATTAATTCTTATCTTAGTTATTAGTCTTCGCGGTAGATTTCTGCTGAGTAATAAATAATTAAAAAATAATATAATTATAAGTACTATAATATGATAGGATCTACTTGTCAGGGTAGAAAGCCTGTTAACTAGGTAAGGAATCAATCATAAAACACTGTGTATTTGTTTGATAATAATAAAGATAGTCTATATTCACAAGATAGACTAATTCTTAAAGAATCAGTAGCTTCTTATAGAGAGATCAATATCTTATAGATACCGAAGAGATGTAGAATTATTATTAATAATCTTATAACTCTTATAATCACTATAATATATTATCCCGATGACACGACTCTTATAATTATTATAATATATTATTTTAATAATCTTTATCCCGATAGCTGGATTATTCTATTATAAATAATACTCTTCTCTGCTGGGACAAGCCACCTGGCTCGGGTATTAGGAATAGTCTTATATATTTTTAATTCAGAATAGTAGAAATTCGATAGTAAAAAATAAAAAACTTATAAAATATATAGTATAAACAGGATTATATACTATTTCTGTATAACTTTATAAATATTTAGTTATATTTATATAGATGGATTTTCTGCAAAGAAGTATAAATAAAAAAATCTCTTATATTACTTCTCTTTCTTCTTCTCTTCTACTTTATAATTATTATTTCTTTAGTAATTTATAATTATTCTCTTTATATTTCTTTATTATTTTATATAATCTTTGTTATTTCTATTTATATTATATTACTGTTATTCTTTTTTTTATTAAATATTAGTCTTGTTCTTGATTACTTTGCAATAGCAAAGAAAATAATATATCTTAAGTAAGATATTTTTATTAAAGTCTGCTATAACTTCTGCATGCACTGTCTGAGATATATAAATAATAACTTTGATTCTAAGAAGAGTGCTTTATATAATATTAGTTATCTATTAGATATAAAGATATCTGTTCTGTATTATTTTTATTTCGCGGGAAAGAAGACTTATAATTCTATAGATTTTATATACTCTGTATTATATATATATAATTTACTAATATCTCTCAAGCCTGCAACTAATCTGCTAGAAAACACTTACAATCTTATAAAGATTATTAAATAGATTATTCTGATTCTGAAGAAAGAATATTAAAATAATAATATTAAATAGATTATTTATAAAAAAATCTATATTCTTGCAAAGATATTTGACAGTATAAAGAATATTTATATTTATAAATTTTTATTAAAGAATATTAAGACTGCCAAGTGTGTAAGTTCTTATTATAATTAAGAGATAAGATCTTTGTGATTCTATTATTAATATTCTGTTAGAAGTTTATTACTGAGTATATTAAGTTTATTAAGATTTATTATATTTTTTTAATATAGTTAGTTTTCTATTCTAATCTTCGCGTCTTACTAAAGAATTATTATATCTATAAGATAGAAATATTATTATATTTGCTGCTTAATAATTTAAGATATATAGACTGGATTTCTATTCTGCGGAACTTTCTTGATTTAATAAGAGCTATAATATATATTTAATATTTGAATATTAATAATAATAAATTAATTTTGGATAATAAGAATAGTATTATTAGATTAATCATAGATTTCTATATTCTTTTCTTAAAGTCTACTTTCTTTATAAATATTTCTGAGTTATAATAAAAGAGTCTGATTATTATTATTATTTATTTTGTAAATAAATAATAAATATAACTGAATATATTTAAATATCCTCTGCTGTTTTATAGCAGAATAATTTTATATTTATTAGTATATTTAATCCGCGATAATATAATTAATAAGAAATATTAAGAGATTAATATTCCTGTAGCTTATTTCTTGAGAATATAAAGTAATTTATTAGTAATTATCTCTTATCTTCTTAATATATAGTGCTTTTTATAATATTTTTAATATTACTTTATAGCTTCGGGTGCATTCTCTATATTTTTATTAGAAATTTATTGATTATACTTGCTTAATTATTTTTTTTATTTAATTAGATAATAATTCTGACTATTATAATATTAATAATCTTTAATTTTTTTAACTTTCTATTTATCTTTATTATCTAGCTTAGATATTGGGAGCGGTTTTTTATAATTTCTTTTAGTATTTTATAGTTTTAATAAGAAGATATAGAATATATTATAAATTTGTCTATATTTCTTAGATAAATATAATCAATACGCCTGAGATCTGATATATTTAAGAATTTAAAAGAATTTTATAAACTTTAGAGCCAGCTTTCTTAATTCTTTAAATTATAAGTTCTGAGTTAATAGCTTAACTAGATTTCTTTTTTTAAAATAAAATAGCTTTCTATATTTATTATAATATTTTTTTTATTTTTCTGTAATTATTTACTATATTTTTTATAGCTGTTCTCTTATTTCTCTAAGTTTCTTAATTTTATTCTATATTACTGAGACTTCTTGCTGCTAAGAATTAATTTTAATTCTAATATAAAAATCCAGCGAAAAGCTATAAAGAATATTATAAGATAATTAATCTATAATTATATTATCTATATTATTACAGACAAATTGAGTACTTAGAAAAATTAATAGCTAGTTAATATTATACTGACTGAAGTAATATTAGAGATAGTATTTAAATATTTGATTTATTTATTCTATTTAATTATTAATTTAAGAATAGAACACAGTCGAAAGCTTTAAGATTATATAGCTATTATAGACTAAATTTAATCAGAATTTACTGATAAAAATTAATTCTTAATTAGATATAATTTTATTTAGAGATCCGAAGATTAATTTAATCTATTTATAAAACAGTTTAACAAGATTTAGAGCAGTTATCATAGATAGAATAGCAAAGAAAAAACAGTATTTTAAGAATTAATTAATAATAACTAGAATAGTATTAATAATCTTTTTATATTAAATAATAAAAAACAGCCCTGTAATAAAATCTATTGCTAATTCAGCAAAGAGATATAATAAAATTAGTAATAATTTAAGATTATTATATAGTCGATACTTTGAAGCAGTGATTTCTTGATATATTAAATAAATTCAGATATATTCAGCTATATTATATTATAATCTGTTTTAGTAAAACTTTCTATATAGTAGTATTTTTATTCAAGTCTTTTTAAAATATTTCACTAATAGATTATTATAATATAGCTTAATAAGTGTCTGATATAGTATCTTAGAAGAGAGAATATAATATTAATCTTTGAAACAGATATAATTAGTTATTTTAATAATTTAATATTTTTAGTTTAATTATTTTTATTAAATAATAGTCTTTTATTATTATATCTCTGGATTATTATTCTGCAAATATAAGATTATTTTTTAAAGTTTAGAATTATATATATCCAAGTATAAAACTTCCGCGGCACACATTTATGATGCTGTAGATTAAAAAATAAATCTCTTTTAAGATAAGTTTTCTTAAATAATCTAGTCAGCTGTCTCTATATCAGCTTAATTATTAAGATTCTTTAAGCTTAATATAATATAAATATTAAATCCAGAGTAATCCTGTGTATCTTGAGATTTAAACTAGATTTTTTCTTTAATAAGATTTTTTATTATCAGAAATAATATATCTATAAATCGCGCTTAAATTAAGATTAACAGTTTCTCTTGAAAAGCAGATTTTACTTAAGATTTAGAAAATATTCTGAAGAATCTATCTGCTAGATTTAATTTCTCTGTTCTATATTTAATAATAAAATTATAGAGAATTAGATTTATAAGCTATTAAGCTTGTCTTCTGTTAATCCGGGTTTAATATATAAAAAATTACAAGTTTAAATAGTCTGATAAAATCTTAATTATTTAGAAAATATCTTCTAAATATTATTATTATTATTTAAAAGAGTAAATAATAGCAAATAGCTCTTGATCTGAAGTATTATAATTTAGCTTAATATTAAAGAACTTATAAAATCAGAATATAACTAAATAGAATATATTTTTAATATTAAATTAGAATAAAATATTACTTATTTTTTTTTTTAATATATTAGTTTCTAAATGACGGGGTTTTATAGAATTAAAATATATTAGTAAAGATACTTGTTAAAAGATAATAATAAGATAATAAAAAACAGTTTATTTAATTAAGATTAGATAAATCTTCTCTGGCTTCCGCCTGTTAATTATTTTATAAAGCAAAGAAGTAAGAGACAAGATAATATAAAAATAGTCTTGAATAAATTATTAATAAAAATTATAGAATTTAAGAAAGATCTGGATATTATAATAATTTTCAGAAATTAGCTATAAAATAATATTATTTATCTATTAAGAATCTATAAATACTCTGTCAGAGTTGATAATATATTTTAGAAATTTGACTTAAGATTAATAAAATAAATATTTTAATAGTTTTATATAGAGCTGAGCTTCTTGAAGTCTCTCTAAAACTTAATAAATATACTTTATATAAGATTTTTTATCTAATAAAAAGATAAGAATATTATTCAGATATACTATATAAAAGTTATTAAGAAATTCTTAAAGTATAATATATATATAGTTTTAAAAAGTTACTAAAATATTAGTTAATTTAAATAATATAATTATATATTTAAAGTAATTATATTAGATATAAAATACTGTCTTCTATTTATTATCTTTTTTAATACAGATTTAATAGTATATATTCTTAATATCAATCTTTAAAAAGTAGATACTTTCCGAAACTCTGTTAAGAATCTTTAAAATAAGAGATAAAAGATAGTAATTCTTGATAGAAATCTTATTAAGATTTTTATAGTTTATATAAAAATATAAGCTATTATTTTTTTTAAATATAAAGAGAATAAAGACTTCAGCAGAGCTTTTTAAAGATTAAATTTAATCTAGTTTCAGATTTTTTTTAATATATTCTTATAGAATCTTAAGTTCAGCTTTGAATAAGAAATATATTAAACTATAAAAGAATATTTTATTAGATTTAATATTAATAATATAATCCGCAGGGCTATAAGAAGATAGCTGTTAAAAGAAATCTATAAAGAATATATCTTAGAACTGCTTAAGTTTAACAGAAATTATCTTAAGATTTAATAATAAATTATAAGATTTTTTTTCTGATAGTTAGATATTTTTAAGAAGCTTAATAATAATATATACTCTTGCTGAGTTTTAAGTTGCTTTAGTAAATTAAATAATAAAAAATAGTAAAATAGATAATATACTAAATTATTACTGACAGTTCTATACTGATAAGATAATATATAGATTATAAAGTATAGTTATTAAAAGTAGTACAGAACTGTCTTCTAGTTAGAGATTCTAATTAATTCTTATATAATATTATTTAAAAGTATAGATATCTTCTTATAAATTAATAGTAATAATAGGAACTTTCTATATATTATAGATAGAAATAATAATTTAATTAATAGTTTTAATCTTTGGCGCAGTAACTGGGATATATTAGAGATTATAGACTTTGATAAACTAATAATTAATAATATTTATTTTAATACAGCTATTCAGATCTGTAAAGATTTCAAGATTATTTTAAATATAAATAGAAATATAAAAATAATATATAGTCCCTACTGTAGATAAAGAAGTTAAAATTATAGAATCTATCTTAATTTCTCTATTTTTCTCTCTAAATCTAATAAAAATTAATAAATTCTAGCAGATTAAATTTTTTTATTTTTAATAGAATATTAATTTATAAAATATTAAATATTTTTATATATAAAATATTATAATTGATTATTATTCTTTTTAATAGGGTTTTTTCTGTGATTCAGGATATCTTCTTTAATAGTTTTACTAGTAATTTCTTAGAAGCGCTTGCGTGGCTTATAATTACTAAATTAATTATTATTTTATTTATGTTTTTCTCTATTTTCTTATAGTTTATAATAATAAATAATAATAGCTATTATTTTGTCCCGCTTCTCTGATAGATAAGAAATATATTCTTAAATATAATAGTTTAGATCTGATAGTAACTTAGTAAAATAGAATAAGACTCTTTTTTTTTTTATTTAATAAGAAAAGTATTGCTTTAAGATATTAAGATAAATATAAAACTCTCGCAGATTCTGATTATATTACTAATAAGTCTATTTAAGTTAGATTATAATATTTAATTAAAAAA